CCACTCACCTCAGCCTCCCAAAGGCGCAGGATTACAGGCTGAGCCACCGAGCCCGGCTGAACCCAGGAATTTAAGTTCCAAAACCTCTTAAAGTCTCCTGCTCATATGTAAGAACTGACTAGGTTTTCCACCTTTACCCTCTCATGCAACCAACTGCAAAATCCTAATTGCTCTACCTCTGTGTGTATTTTTCCTTTATTCTTCCTAACTGTTCTGGCTGAATAATATGCACGTGTATCAATCTGACAGAACATGGAGAACAAGTGAGGTATGGTTTAGGTGAGGCACAGGCTGTGTTGGTGTTTTGCTTAAGAGACAGGGTATCATGTTTGGGCTCAAATGATCCTCCTGCCTCTGCCTCCCAAATAGTTGCTTGGGACTATAGGCACAAACCACTGAGTTCAGCTGAGACTAGGTTGTTATTTTTCCTTTCTTCTAAGTTCAGTAACTTATGATAGAGATTTATGGTGTTTTATTCTCAAATGTAGATAAAAAATGAATAACCTTCACACACACAGAAGAGTTGTATAACTAACATTAACTCAAGGCATATTTTACTATAAAAATCATATTTGGAAATACCTACTTACAAAAGAGGGTCACACGGAGAGTCAGGTTATGTTTTTATGTAACATTCATTCCAGAATTCATTTTTAAATGGCAATCCCAAGTGTTTAAGTGTTTTCATTGTAGGATTTGCTTTTCCCCTCAATGTTTCAGCAATGTACTAGAGGACTGTTATGGGATCTGAAATTATTTTTTTCTTCTTCCGTTTCTAAATTGTCTTATAGGTCTGATTGCTTTTTGAAAAAAATTATATAATAATAACAATTCTCCAGAGTACACACATGACTGACTTAAAGAAATACTACAGGCTGGGAGCGGTGGCTCAGCCTATAATCCCAGCACTTTGGGAGGCTGAGGGGAGAGGATTGCCTGAGCCCAGGGGTTCAAAACCAGCCTGGGCATGGTGGTGCACGGAAGGATCAACTGAGCCCAGTAGGTCAAGATCAGCCTGGGCAACATGATGAGACCTTATTTCTACCAAAAAAAAAATCAAAAAATTAGCCAGGGAGCTGTTATCATGCTACCAAGCTCAAGCTTGGATGACAGAATGAAACCCCCAACTCAAAAAATTTTTTAAAAAGAGCAAATATATGTAAAACACTTGGGCTGGTGACTATGGACATATAATAGCAACTCGGATTAGTTCCCTTATCTCTTCACACCTTAACAAGAACCATATAAAAGCTCTTGGCTGGTGGCAGAAAAGCCCTTTTTTCCAGTTCTTCTAAGTCAGTGTTATACCACTGCTTTCCCGCCCTCTCAGTTCCTAGGCCCTGTGAACTCTTTTTTTTTTTTTTTTGAGTTGGAGTCTCACTCGGTCGCCCAGACTGGAATGCAGTGGCCGCTCCCGGCCACCGCAGCCTCGACCTGCTGGGCTCTGGCGATCCTTCCGCCTCAGCCTTCCGAGTACCCGGAATTACAGGCATGCGCTACCACGCCCGGCTGATTTTTTGATTTATTGTAGAGATGAGGTCTCGCTGCCCAGGCGGGTCTCGAACCCTTGGGCTCAGGCAATCCACTCACCTCAGCCTCCCAAAGGCGTGGGATTACAGGCTGAGCCACCGAGCCCGGCAGCCCTGTGAACTCTTAATCTGCTTGTATTATCCCCTTCTGGTCTACTCGTCATTATACATTGACTAATTGCCCACACCACTACTGGGTCTTGCTAAGTGCTAAGAACTCTCCAGGACTTAGAACATGAGGTCAAATATGTCATATACCCAAATAACACAAAGCACAGAGCAGTATGACAAAGAAAGAATTATGCGCATTCTAGGGAGAAGGATAGGACAAGCCAGGGGCTGAGACAGGTGACAGGAACCAGCAACAGACGATGGCACTTGGACAGGGACTATAGAGAAGGATTTGAAGCCTGAGAGACAAGGAGAAGAACAATTCCAAATATCAGGGAGGCCACCGTGACAAGTGCCTGTCCTGAAAACTTCAATCTGGCTGGACCCTGGGGGTATGATGGGAAATGCTGGCGGATAAAAGCAGAAATGTAGGATGGAACTGGTCAGTGTAGAAGCCTCAAGACCAAAACAGGGCTTTGAGGCTTTATTCTAATAGTTAATGAAGACACCATAAAGGTTTTTTTTTTTTTGAGTTGGAGTCTCCCTCTGTTGCCCAGGTTGGAGTGCAGTGGTACACTTATGGCCTGCTGGGCTCAGGCGGTCCTTCCACCTCAGTCTTCCAAGTAGCTGGAACTGTAGGTGCATGCCACCATGCCCGGCTAACTTTTTGATTTATTGTAGAGACTGGGTCTCACCAAGTTGTCCAGGCTGGTCTCAAACTTCTGGGTTCAGGTAATCCTCCCGCCTCGGCCTCCTAAAAGAGCTGGGATTACAGGTGTGAGCCACTGCCCCCGGCCAAGGAAAGTAACTTTGAAATGACCAGGTCCACTTTTTGTTCTTTGTTCCTGCTTTCTTCAGCCCTCTGCTATCTATAAAACCAAGCTCCTCTGCTCATTGGAGCACTTTCTCTACTTTATGGAATTTAGTGTTGCCCAATTCCAGAGTCACAAAGGAAGCCAATTCAGAATTTTTAAAAACTAAATTGTTGCCATTTTGTCCTCTGACCCTGGAGACTCCTGCAATAGTCTGGCTGAAAAGTAATAAATAAGGGCTGTATTTGTTCTATTTCAGATTCTCAAGACAACCCTGTGACCTAGTCATCTTCCATGTTCAAGTGACTTTATCTTAGGTCCTGCAAGTGGGTGAGCCAAGGTTTGACCCCAAGACCTTTCCACATGGAGGCAGAATTACTAGAGACACAGTAACTGACTAGATGCAAAGATAAAGGGAAGGGACGCAAACAACTCAGATCTCAAGCCTGGGTGACAGTACATACCTTGCCATGATCAGAAATAAGGAAGGTCACTGAAAGGACTATGACAAGGTTGATTGTAGACACACTGTGCGAAAGTACTTATGAGATGTCCAAATAATCATCCGTTTAGCTT